AACTTCCTGGTAAATTAAAGACCCTTTTGTGCTGAAAATATTTCGATCAACATATATTTTGAGAAATTCAACCATACTATCTATGCTTAAACTTTCTTAAAATGTGTGCATTTCATACTATATAAAATGTACATCTCTATGAATCATAAACATTATTTTCAAAAACACTACAGGCCCATGAGTTATTTCCTCACGTTTAGAATTGATGTAGTTTTAATTTTTAAATCTTGAAAACTGGATAAATATATTTAAATGGCATATTATTACTTGCGAGTATGGATCTCAGCATAGAGTGTATGCTTAGCATTCATGAGACCCTGGGTTAGATCTCAGCACCACAAAACGGATGTGGGGCAGGAGAACTCAGAAATAAATTTGGTTCAGAGAGCATGGTATTTTACCAAAGTCTGCCTCAATCCCAAATTCTATTTTTTTTTTTTTTTTTTTTTTTTTTTTTTTTTTTTTTTTTTTTTTTTTTTAGTTTTTCGAGACAGGGTTTCTCTGTAGCTTTGGAGCCTGTCCTGGAACTAGCTCTTGTAGACCAGGCTGGCCTCAAACTCACAGAGATCCGCCTGCCTTCGCCTCCCGAGTGCTGGGATAAAAGGCGTGCACCACCACCACCCGGCTCAATCCTAAATTCTTATCTTGGTACCTTGGCATTTTTTTTTTTTAATATTCCCGGAAGCCTTGATATTCTTACTCTGAATGTTCCTTCGTGTATACAATTGTTTTTCTAAGCTGGGTTTTAAAATTAATGGGGAGGGGAGGGGGAAGAAACAGACTGATGTGCACACTCAACTTTCTGCAGTTAGTTTAGTTTATTGCAGGGCTCCAGATGACTGGAGGCGAGGGAAGGACACAATAAGTAAGCCAAGCTGGTCTGGTGACATTGTTAAGTCAATCAGTTTGTAATCACTAATGAAGGATTTTGCAGTACGTACAGCATCCTTCTGGGGGGGGTGTTTGCTGTCAAACATGGCTCAAAACTACCAGAAAAAAAAATATACAGCAGGAGACGTTAAGCAAAGTGGTGATGGGCCCTCTTTTCTTTCTGCCATGCCTGTTCTAGTAAGTACCATGATTCGGAGGAAACTCTCTTCCTTCCCTCAGCAGTTAGAGCTTGCTCTTTTTTTTTCCCCCACAAAGAAATTTAGAATGTGGATAGATGACAGAAAGCTGATGCTTTTCCACAGGTCCAGCAAGCTAACGACAAAGGATACCCACAACCTCTCCTAGCTGTCCTTGTCCCCACTTCTTGATCATCTTCATGGCCACCAACTTTTGAGTTATTCCAGTGAGAACGGTCCTGCCAGCATTCACGCCTTCAGCTGTAGCAGGAAAAACTGGAAAATAGCAAAGCCAGTGGGGGTGGGGTGGGCTGGGTGAATTGTTTGTTTTAAGTGCTGGCGTTTGAGCCTAGAGCCTCAAACATACTACATGAGCTATCTCTGCAGGACCCCATCCTTTTTTTTTTTTTTTTTTTTTTTTTTGAGACAGACTCTCACTAAGTTTCCAAGCTGGTCTTCAACCCACTTTTTAGTCCAGGCAAGCCTTGAACTTACAATTCCTCTGCCACAACCTCCCTAGTAACTGAGATTACAAACGCACAGCACCAGGCTGGCGTAAACAATTAAGGGAGCTTAGTGTCCACAAGACAAGTGGTTTTATACAGTTGGAATTTTCTGTGGCTTTTGTGGAAGCCTGAGGAGGCCAAAGGTCAGAGAGTTTGGGACTTATTGTGCCTCTAACTCAAAGAAGGTCCCACCTAGTTGTAAATCAGAGTTCTGCTCTCTCAAGGCTATTGTCAACAGGTGTGGCTAGTTGCCGGCCCTCGTGCTCCTGAGGAATCCCACTTAGGGAGACTGTTCTGACTTTGGAAAAGCCTTCTAAAACCTCTGCCCATTAGGTACAAGCCCCAGCTTGAAGAAGCACTTCTGCAGGTTGCTTGGAGGAAGGGCAGGGGTCAGAGCTACACAGAATTTGGAAACCACCTTGTGGAGGAGAGTCGGGGAAGACTGGGGCACCTTCGCCCCTTTGTTGGCCTCTCAGTCTCACAACTTGGACAGGCTGCGGGAAGGCCCCCCTCTTCCCTCCCACCATTTCCTCTGGAAGGCAGTGTTTAGTTACATCCCTCAGGAACCTCATATGACTTTTTGTCAGCCACATTTCACTCTTTCTACTTGTAATAATCATCTTCCAAGTGTATTCACCCACCTGCTCTGCCCTGCGTGCACCGTTTTAAATTGCTTCCTAAGCTAACTGACTCTAGCCAGCGGTTTCATATTCAATGTTTAGCTCCTTCAAGCCCTTCCTGTCAGCGACCTTGCTCGCTGCCCTTTCCGGTGAAGGAGGGAGGAATGTGTGTTCCTTCCAAGGATGTTTCCTAAGGACAGGGCACTGCACTGATGCTAAGGGACCCAGAGTCTCCAGGATGAAGACCCGCGCTCCATATCCTACACTTAGACAGAAAACATATAAATAACGCCAGTGTGTGTGCGGCAAGTGCCAGGACCTGGAAAGCCAGGCCTCATGGAGGCAGAGGGTCTGAAACAGGGTCTCACCTCTGAGAACAGGAGGAAGTGGCCTTTTACACAAGGAACAGGACAGATCCGGAAGTGTCTCTCCGTTGACTCACCTGCCACACCCTATGCAGTTCTGACCAACCTGCCCTTGAGCTTCCACTGAGAGCTGCTTGGCCTGTGCTGATGAAATCTGCAGACACTGTCTCACCTACACAAGCACACACATCCTTCCACGCCCTCCCACCATCGTTCACACACTCCATTTCTCACAAACACATGCAAACAGAAATACAACATACAGTCATACTCATGCACACCCGCTGACTTTTATACACATATTTTTGTTCTTAGGAACGTTGTTGCTTTCTGTTTTTGTATTAACATTGCAGCTCCTTTTCCTACCAGCTTGGCCAGGGATGGGGCTTCATCCCCCCCTCCCAGTTTCAAAGCAGCCACTTCTAACCTTCCAGGACCAGAGAAGAAGGAAGGAAAGCAGAGGTGAAAGAACAGAATCTCAAAGTCAAACAGAATGCAGGCCTTGGCCTCCCCTTGAGACAGATACATAGCAGAATTTAGGCCTGTCCTCACTGTCCCCTTGCAAATGCCCCATTAACATAGCCCAGGCACAGGGACGAAGGACCAGAGAAGCAGCCTGACCTTGTACTGCCTTTCTTTGCAGCTCCCTGGAAAGGATTAACACATGCAATAAATCTTATTTAAAAATTTAAAGTTTGTATTGTTGAATAAGTATCTCTCTGTCAAGTGTTCAACTACCATCTTCCTTTATGGTTTCAGAGTTAATGGGAAAGAAATAGGGCCAGGAAACGCCAGGTGTGAAGAATGAGCATTCTTTGGAATGGTTGTCAGTGAGCACACACAGCAAAACATCCACATTGTTGCAAACTGGGAAGAAGACTAAAAGTTCCAAGCTGAGCGGGAGGACCACCATAAATTCCAGGCTATAAGAGTCTCTCATTGAAACAGGGAGTGGATCAAGCACAAGGGATACAGCTCAGTCAGCAGTAGAGTGTATCCCTGGGCACAAAGCCCTGGGTCTGATCCCCAATACTGAATCAAAAATTATAATCTTGACTTTATATGCATGAGAAACTGCCTCAGTTTAAAACATCCTTTTTATGCGCCCCCAAAGCACTAGGGTATGGGATGAGTAGCCCTATTCAAAATGCTCAGGACCACAAGTGTCGAGCTTAGAATTTTTTGAATTTTGGAATGTTTGCTTATCTGGGAAATGTGACTATTTCATTAAAGAAAAAACTCACTGATATTGGAATATATTTCTATGTACTTCAAATACGTAGCCTGAGGGTTTTGACTGACCTGTGGCATGAAGCCATTGTGGAAGTTTCTATCTGTGGTATGACGTCAGTACATGAAGGTTAGCAGAGGTGGGATAGCTGAGATTTTATTTATTCGGAATAGGGATGCTTAGTCGGTATTCAAATGGCCTACTTGGGATTTTCTTTGTAAATGGTTCAGAGCTTGATTTTCTGTTAAAGATGGGTCATGTAAAGAAGGGCTGTGGGAGAAGAGCAAAACGGCAGTGGGATGCTGTATTGAAAGACCTGGATAAATCCAGACTCCCCCCCCCCCGCCCCCCAGCAGGAAAAAATAGAGCCAAAAATCTAAGCAGGGAGAGAAAAATCAGAAATCTAGGATTAGCCGGTTCAGTTTCAGGAACTAGCTGAAGATAAAGTTATATTGTAATCTTGAGAATAATCTTGAGAAACAGGGAGTTGCCCCTTTGTGATTATCTTTGGTATTTTTGGAATTTTCTAGGATGCCTCCCTACCCCTTTGGATTACTGGGCTGTGGTTTCTTCCCTTAACCCCTTCTCCCAGTTACTTGGGGTCGAACTCTCCCCTGTGTGGGTTATGAGTCTCGGCCCCGGTGCACTGGTTCCTGTCTTGTCCTTGTCAAACAAACCTTGTGTGATTGCAGCAAGGATGGTCTCTTGTGAGTTACTGGGGGGCGGGGTTGTTATCCTGAAACTTGAGTGAGAGTCTCCCCACACGGGGGGGGGGGGGGGGGGGAGGTGTCTTTCAGTATGATGGCATGGTCATAGCTAACATAGATGAGCCAGAATACCTGATCCTCTTACTGTCGCCTCCCAAGTTCTGGGATTACAACAACGCATGACCACACATGGCCACTTATTTTGTCTTGTGTGTGGTGCATGCAGATGAGTGTGCAGGTGCACACACATTCGGAAGCCAGAGCAAGATGGCCAGTGTCTTTTTTTTTTTTACCACTCTTCTCGCTTTCTGAGCAGGGTCTCGTACTGAGGCAGAACCTTCTCATTTTAGCTTGCTGGTGAGGTCTGCCTGTCCTAGTCCCTTATGCTGAAGTTAAAAGTACAAACATACCTGGATTTTTAAATTTTATTTATTTATTTATTGATTGATTGATTGATTGATTGATTGATTGCTGTGCTGGGGATTTGAACTTAGGCTTCATGCTTGCAAAGCAAGCACTGCTATCCTCCAAGCCTCTCCCTAGCCTCTTTCTCTTACTCTTGGTCAAGAGTAAAGAGCGTCTTTTGCTGCTAAGTTGAGGTTGGGTCTTGTTACTGGGTCCATAATTCCAAGGAGAAAAACAATCTAGTTTTAGACTGAAACTCAGACACAACATTTTCTTCCTTTTTCTGTAATTAAGGTCAGTTCATCTTTCCCCCTTCCTTTCATTGTTGTTATAGCCACGCCCCCAGCCTCTGACTCACAGAAGGCTGGAGAAGGTTCTTGACTTGTCATCAGCCCAAAAGGATGGGCTCCTGTCCACTTAGCTGGATTTCTACATTCCCTGTCTGTCACCTGGACCATCTTACTGGTCTCTTTGTCATGAAAGGCAGCATACCTATAGAGTCTGGAATCCGGGCATCTTTCTGGGGACTCGATTCTGCCACAAAGTATCCATGCAGCCTCTGGGCTTCAGTGTTAAGTGTGGTGCCTGTGTTTCTATTTCTCTAAATCTCCCCCCCTAAAGACGAATTCCAAAATTTGCTATGAAGCCAAACCTCATAAATCCTGTCATTTTCTTGTAAATACTTCGGTAATCTTCTCTGATAGGGACCTTAGGAAAACAGGACCAAAAGCAGAGTGCAGGGGTGCACACATCTGGTTCAACTGTCGGAGGCGGCTGATGATGGAGTCCGAGGTCAGCCTGAACTAACGAGCAAGACACTATCTCAACCAAAACCAAAAAGACACGTTTAACAAGATAATTAATAATTATCAAATGTCATTTAACATCCAGCCTATGTTTATATTTCCCAATTTGTTCACAAATGTCAAAAAAAAAAAAAGCTTGATTGAGGAATCTCAGGATTTCTCTGTGGATGAAGACACTTTGCACTTGTAACCAAGTCTGATGACCTGAGTTTGAACCTTGGTGACCATACAGTGGAGGAAGAGAACCGCTGGTAAGTTGCACTCTGATTCCTTTTGCACCAACAGTGTGCGTAGGTGCACTGGGGCGGGAAAATAAGTAAATGTAATGAAGTTTCTTTGTATCGAATTAAATCATCAAATAAGGCCCACAAACTGCATTTTGCTAACTTGTATCTCAAGAAGTATCCTTCCTCTGACCCTGCCCCCCCTTTTATTTTCTTGTGGCCTTTAAAATTTTTTAAGAAAATTAAATTTAAAATGAAGAAAAAGCCATTTCAAGACAGGATGCTATCTATGTAACTCAGGCTGGTACCAGGACAGGGATCTGCTGCCTTAGCCTCCCTGAGAGCTGAGACTCCGGAGTGTTCCACCACGCCCAGAGGCATGACGTCTATTTTTGAATCAAGTCTGTTTATAGTCTTCAGGAGTTTTGCTTTCTGGTTCCGGGCTCATGGCTTCCTGGTGTGTTAAATACCCAGCATGCTCTTTCGGCTCCTTTATTTCTTAAGCTCTTTCTTTGCTGGATTTAGTCCCCCTAGCACACATGGCATTACATCAGTACGGAAATGCCTTACTTTCGTGATGTTAAAGTTGTTCACCTGAGCAGAGTTGGAAAGACTTATAATCTTTTTTAGTAGATAGCGACCGTTTCCTGCATGCTTAAGGCACCCCAGGCACTGTGGCTTACTCTACAAACCATACTCAGATTTGCAGAACGCAACAGCGTTTGATGGCTGGCAGCCAGCGCATAGTTTCGCACTTAATGCGCTTCTTGAATAATGGGTTAAAGACCCTGGTGCTGTTTTACAGGCTTAATCTAAGAATTATTTAAAATAGTAGATGTGCGAGTACCCAAAGCTGAATATGCGACGTTTTCTTGTCACTAAGAAGAAACAGGACCCCACAATAAACCTTTGGCCGGCTCATTTACACACGACGCCTTCCGTAGTATTTTTGCAAAAGCCGTTTGCTGGGCTCCGGAGAAGGCAAAAGACTGAAGACAAAATCGCTCGAGCCAGCCGGCCGGAAGGGCTCTCGTGGCTTCCTGCGTTGATTCCTTACAGTGTCACCGCGGGCTGGGACTTTGGCCTCGGGGTGGCAGGCGCCACTGCAGCCGCTGTGTAGCGCACAGGCAGCCCTCGTGGTCCCAGGCGCGCGGCTGGGTCCCCAACGGGCCCATCCTCCATTTGTACATCACCACCGGCGTCAGGCCGCTCCCTCCTGCTGCCGCCCTGGGCAGCGACTTCCCGGAGGCGCCACGATCCCCGGCTGGAGGAAGGACGCAGGAGGGCCCCCGGAGGATGGCACCGGAGAGCTGAGGCCGCCGCACCCCGGCACCCCGCGTAGGTTTCCACATTTATTTCCCTTTGCTCTCCCAAGGCTCCAGCTGCGGAGCCTTCTGCAACCTGCGTTCCACAATCTGGGCGCCGGCATTGGAGGGCTCCGGGTTTCCGAGATGACTGACACCTGGGCTCCACTGTCCAGCTCTAGGGCTCCAGCGCCAGTCGGGGTCCCTCAGGGCTGCTACCGAGGTCCCTGGGCGGGTCCTAGGATCCAGGGTCTTCCCCGGACTTTGCTTCCGAGGCTTTGAGCCCTGCAGAGCGCTGGGGTAAAGAAAGGTGGAAGAAGGTGGGTCCTGCGGCCCTGCTACATTTATACTTCAAGGTCAACTGCCGTTTTTTATTAAATGTTTGGGATTTCACGGCCCTGGTACTACAGCAAGTTAAATCTCTGATAAAACAGCTTTCTGCATTATTTATTCACTGAGAGAGTTGTTGACTTGTAGGACTATCTCAACTATCCCTCAGCTTGGAAAAAAAAATCACTTAAGATACAAATATTCACAAGAAAATAGCGATTGCTGAGATTGTGTTAATATATTTAAGATTATAAACAAGGAGGAGAGGTGCACTTAAGTATTACATTTCGTGCTGCTTTGGAGAAGGGTTTACATATTTAATGATAGCTTTGAAATTAGTCAGGGAAGGAAAAATATCTTACTTTCAGTTGTAGATTGTGGCAATTAATTTGTGTTAGGTAGCATAGAACAATGTCTATTTGTTTTACATAAACATTTTTATACCGTAATTACAAAAATTTGTGTGTTTTTTTTATCAACTGGGCACAAACCTAGACATATTTGGGGGGCAGAAATCTCAACAGAGGAATTGCCACCAACACCATCCCAACCCTCCACTCCCCCCCACCTCTCCACCTTTCCCACCTTTTCCCTCCCACCCTGGGCAGATAGAACTGCAGGCAAGTCTGTGGGGGCATTTTTTTGGTTAATGATTGATGAGGGAGGGCCCAGGCCACTGAGGCACCCCTGGGCACCTAGTAGAAAAAAAGCAAAGCAATAGAAAGTGGGTGTTGCTCCGTGGTCTCTGCTTCAGTTGCTTCCAGGTTGCCTTGCGTTCTTGCCTTATTTTCCCTCAATGGACAATAACCTGGGGTATGTAAACCAAATAAGCCCTCTCCTCCTAAAGTTGCTTATGGTTATGGTGTTTATATAGAAACCAAAGCAAGACAACTTGATTATGATGTGGGGAATCAAAAGTACTCCCCACTGAGCCACATTCCTAGCCCTAGAAAGAATAGGTCTTGAATACCATAATGTCAGTCATTAAAAAAAAAAAAAAAAACAAACCAAAAAAACAAAACCAATAGCTTTCTTTTTACTTTCACAGTCAGGTTTCTTGTTGATAGTTCACTAAATAAAATCTAATTCAGCATCAAAACATATTTTCTGTTTTATTGCAGTTGACTGTAGTCTGGTTTTGGAATGTAGATGCCAGCTTGGAACCTTGGTACCCAACTCAACCTAGGAGCAGCATTCTTTAAATGGTGAGGTGGCTCTGTGGGCAGGCCGGGCAAGCAGGGATCACAAAGGTCTCTCTCTCTCTCTCTCTCTCTCTCTCTCTCTCTCTCTCTCTCTCTCTCTCTCTCTCTTTCTCTTCTGATTTAAATCTGAACTCTCAGACCTTTTTAATTAGGAAGATGGCTTCTCACATGCTTGGATCAACTGAGTGGAGTAACCAAGGACTTACCTCAGTTTCCCACTTATTTCCTTCTGAAAACATCTCCCACAGAGCCTCAAGGGAGGACTGTCGTTATTTCCTCCTGGGGGTGAGCGAGCCTGGATTTTCCTCTGTAGAGTTACACGTGGGATGGCTGAAAAATCGCTCTGTGTACCTACCTACTTAACAACATTTAAACCTTCGCGTCAAAACCCCACAGGAGTAACTTCTAACTCTCCACTAGTCGCCATGGCTGTAGTTTTGTCCTTATGTCCTTAGTGTCAGGTGGTGAGGGAGGATATATATATATTCTTCACACACACACACACACACACACACACACACACACACACACACACACACACGCATGCACACACACCCCTGCACACCAAGGTTGAGTTCCTGCCTGGTGCATACTAGACACACATTCAATATTGAAGAAACCCCAAGGTCTTTACAAATTATTTTGAGTCAAAGTTTGACCAAGTTGCTCAGGCTGACCTTGACTTTGTGGTTACCTCAGCCTCCTGAGTAGTGCTGGAATTATGGGTACCACCGTTTTCCAGCTGTTGTACTGTTTTGAGAGGCATGGTGGCCTTGGTGATGCTGTTTTTAGGGAGAGAATGAAGCCCTTTCCCTTCGCATCCCCTCTTTGTGACTGTCCTTATTTTAGAGAAAGCAGGGACATATTTTGCCTGTAATATTGTAGACAACATTGGGAATAGGAACACAGGACATTTTGGGTAGAGAAAGAAAAGAAATTTAGTGTTTGAAGTCATCCAAGTGTACGTTCTTCACTCTGAATCCCCAGCTGACTTCACCAGGCAGTCTAGGCTGGCCTTGGATTAATCCTTCTGTCTCAGCCTCCATAGTGCTGAAACTACAGCACGTGCCACCAACCCTAGCTCCCCCTGCCCCATTTGAGATGATCACATATTGGAGAGCTGAATTTTACATGGTACTGAGATTTTTCTCATGAGAATATGAAGCAGCTCTAGTATGCTTGCTTGTTTGCTCTCTGGTCCTTTTATGTCTTCTTTCTCTCTGTCCCTCTTCCCTTGGCCTCTAAGCCTCCTCTCATTGGATGGGTCTGAGTTGTATATATATGCACACACACATGTGTGTGTGTGTACGTACGTACATATATGTGTGTATGTATGTATGTATGTATATATATATGTGTGTGTGTGTGAAACATATATTTTCCTCTGTTGAAAGAAAGTTGATATTTGAAGGCAAGGCAGGGAGAGTTTTCTCCTTTGCTGTGTTGTATGTCCCTCTGTATCGATGTCTTACATGTTAGTTCTTGCAGCAGAGTGGGTGAGACCTGCCGAGTGGGCTCACAGGATTGGCTGAGCTCTGTCTGAGCCTTTGCCTTGATTTTGGTGCAGGCGAACTGGAGGTCTGCCTCTTTGTGCCTGATGCTCGTCCTCCAGCCTTGCTTGGCTACACCCATCGCTTCTTCGTCAAAACTGCTCAAGCAGGGTTCTCTGGGGGAAAGGAAGTGCGTGCAGGAGAGCAGGGATCAAGTTCCTGTTCTGGAATTTCATCCTGGTGGGAAACATGAGAGCTTTTTGAATGAGGGTCAGCCAGGTGAGACTCCACGGCAAGGCCACATGGGTGCTGTCACATCAACATCCTTGGTGTTGATATGACACAGGCCAGAGGGATGTCCAGACGGAGCCTGCTGCTTTCTCTTGGTGGGCATTGACTTAGCACCGGCATTACAGGGAAGAGAGAGGAGCAGAGTGGTGGCTCATTCTGTTGTCCAGGCCAGCCCTGGCTTATGTTGTTAGTTGAAGTGCCTAGGGAAAAAAAGGTCATCCCTACATTAAACAATATATAGATCTGACTAATAATTGTGGAGGGTTGGAACATTGCAGACCTGGAGCCAAATTATCTTAGTCCCCTGTGACTCTTAGGTCAACCCCTTTGGAGTATATGGTGGTTTGAATGCAAATGCCACGCCCCACACACATTTGAATGCTTAGTCCCCAGTTAGTAGAACTGTTTGAGAAGGATCAGGAATGGTGGCCTGGTTAGAGTAGTTGTGGCCTTGTTGGAGGAGGTGTGTCACTGGAGGTGGGATTTGAGGTTTCAAAAACACAAGCCAGGTCTAGTCTCTCTCTCGGCCTGCTGATCAGGATATGAAACTTCTCAGCTACTGCTCCAACACTGTGTCTGACTATTTCCTCCATGATGGTCACGGATTAACCCTCTGAAACTGTAAACAACCACCCACTTAAATGCTTTCTTTTTTTGTAAGGGTTGCCTTGGTCATGGTGTCTCCTCACAGGAATAGAACCGTAGCTAAGAGAACGTATAAGGACAGGCAGCCTGGTTTCCGCTAACTCCAAAGCTGAGACTGTCCTCAGATCACATGTGCACCTGATCGCTGATGTGTCCTGGCTTCTCGGCAACCCACCTACCTGATGCTTCCACCAATATATCTCAAAATGCCTTGGTTTATAATTTTCTTTGTTGTGTTTCTATTTAAAAAACTTTCTATAAGAAAGAACCCTCCCTATTGGAATGTGGTATGTGGAAGTCCTGGTCACAAACATTTGGCTCTAGAATAAGCCACCCCTTAATCCTTTTCATGTGAGAGCTGTATCCTTTGCATCACCCACATCCTGGCCTAGTTTATATTATTATTTATGCTACTGTTCGACACTTAAAGGTGTCTCTAGTTGCGGGAGAAAGCCCTAGACACTTGTGGTTCAGTAGAGAAAACTGAGCGGTGGAGGGTTATCAGTGAATAAATTAAGGAGCAGGTGGCCACAGCGGCCTGCAACCTGGTGATAACAATGCTGTGAGCTTTCTGGGAAAGGTTCTGGGAGGAGAAGTTGAGTCCACATTTCAGGCAAGGCTGCTCTAGATGTTCTTAATGTGCAGCATGCCTGCTATACTATAACCTCTTTAATCAAGTACTTAATATAAATGTTTAAATGAAAACAGAGGAATGAGGGCCTGGGTGTGGCTTTGTGGTTGGGCCCATGGACAAAAGAGCAGGTGGAAGATTTTGAGTTCACCACCAAAACCTGGACAGAACCTGGCAGGAGTAAGGAAGTCCCCAGGGTCACCCATTTTATCTTCCCTTTTTATCCCCCATCCCTTCTCTCTCTCTCTCTCTCTCTCTCTCTCTCTCTCTCTCTCTCTCTCTCTCTCTCTCTCTCTCTCTCTCTCTCTCTCTCTCTCTCTCTCTCTCTCTCAATCACAAAGGATTAAATGTGGCCACTGGCCTGGGCTGGCCTGGAATATACTGTGTAGACCAGGATGGCCTCAGACTCACAGAGATCCACCTGCTTGTGCCTTCTGAGTGCTGAGATGAAAGGTGTTCATCACCACACCTGGCCTCTTTATTTTCCTTTGGAATATATAGACGTTCAAAGTGTTTCATTTTCTGCATTATGGCTCAGTACAGAACATCACTGTGGAATGAGCCAGGCTCTTTGATTTCTGTGTTGTGGGGGTGAGGAGTCCTAAGGCCTGGAGCTCACAGAGACAATTGTCAATGCCGAGTGTGTTCACGATTCTGCGTCTATGAACCAACACAGTCTCGGATTCATGTCTAAAAGCCAGCTGCATAGACATTTGTTGTTGGCTTTCTCTGTGAGTTCACTTGGGGTGTCTGGTTACTGTTGTCCATGGCCTCACTTCCTAGGGTGGCTTCTCTAATGCCCCGGCTCTCTGGGGCCTGCAGGCCATCGTCCTTCTCACACTCTCCATCCTGAGCTCACACTGAGGGATTCTGAAGCCCCCAGAATGAACCTCAAAGCCTATCTCAGGGCATCTTTTCACCAACGGTGCTACTTGGATATCTCAAACACCTGCTGCCTTTACAGAACACAAGGCTACCTAAGATTCAGGACAAGCATAGAAACATTCTAAGTGTCCTTCAGAGAAATTCCTGGCACACCAGGGTCATATGAAAGAAGGCCATCTGGACTTTGAAGACTAATTTGTGGGGCAAACTCATCTTTGTGGAAGCATGCATACTCCAGTTTCAGAGGATTTTCTTTCCTTCTTCCCTGTAGGTACAGCTCACGGCTGGGCCCGTCTCCATCCTCCTCGGGGTTCCACGGAGGGTTCTCGATGAACTTGGTCCCCTTCTGCCGGCAACCCCTGGGCAGGAGACATGGCTCTCCTCAGATGGGGACTGGGAAGACAGAACGTCCACCGGTCGAGCAGGGTGCTCCTGCTGAAACTCACAGTCATCGTCATCTCTGTGCTTCTGCTTTGTGAATATTTCATCTATTACCTCGTCATCGTTCGGTGCCGCTGGCCAGAGGTGAAGACACTAGCCCACGGCGATGGCCAGGAGCCCGTACTGAAAGCCATGTTTCTGGCTGACACTCACTTGCTTGGGGAGATAAGAGGACATTGGCTGGACAAATTACGGAGGTAAGAGGTGGAAATCCTTCTGAGATTCCACAGGCAGAAAGGCACGGCTCTGACTCCACGGGTCAGCTGCAAAGCTTCCGGCTTCAGCTGCATTTCCTTTTAACGAGGCACGGGAGATTTTGAATTTTCTCCTACCAGTCATTGAGTAATATTTTATGCAGAGCCCTGTAATTAGGGCGTGGCCAGGGCTGCTGACCAGTTGTGGGAGTTTGGTGAGTCTGTAAGTCCTGCCTCCTTGTCAGTCGCTGGGTTAGCACCGGAAACCTCACAGCTGTGTGAGGAAGGTTCCCACACAGGCTCTGGCATGTGGGAGTGGCCCCTGGGCCTGAGGATACTTCTCTGCATTGGGTTCCCTTTCATCTTGGTGGGGTGTGAGTCTGAGCACATTGGGTTTTTGGATCCTCGGGGTAGCCAGAGGCACAAGGACGGGTGAGATCTTGCCTCTTCAACTCTGACCTGCTCCAGCTTCATCTGTTTTGTTTGCACCAGCTGCACTTTTGGGCTTTGTCTAGGGGCTTAGGGAGGTCAGTCCCTCTGGGCAGTTTCAAGTTCTGTGTCCCACTGCTCTTTTGCTGTTCTCCACAGAGCTACCTCTGGCTCTGGAATGACAACCCTTTAAGGAGTGATGCATACTGGATATTTGGGGTCTAAAAAAAAAAACTTACTCTGATTAAAATAAAGAAACAGCCTTCTTTTATTTCTGTATAGCAGGATGTAACATTCCTCTTTACAGGGGAAGCATCCTGGAGCAAACCATAGGATGAGAGAAGGGGGGGGGGTGGTCATAGGTCAGAGACAGGAGCTGGAGTGGGTGCAGGAGAAGTTCAGGCTGAGGACCAGGGTCTTTCTGTGTGTCTGTGTGTCTGTGTTGTCACTGCACAAGCACCATCTAGTTTAACCCCATCATGATCCCGCCAAAGGGGGTTCTTTCCATTTCAAATAAAGAAATTAATTCTTTTTGGAGACAGTCTTTCTATGGAGTCCACGTTAGCCTTGAACTCATGACCTTCCTGTCTCTTCCTCCCAGTACTGGGGTAACAGGAGCGCACCACCATAGAGGCAACATTTTTTTGTTTTTTTGTTTTTTTTTCCTCATTACTAAGAAGACTGAGAATCGGTGGGAATATTCTCAGGGCTACACTGATCAACAGATGAAGCTGGGCTTTTAAAAATTTTATTTATTTTATTTTTTAATCTTATGTGCATCGGTAATTTGCTTGCGTGTATGTGTGTGTATGTGCCGGGTGTTGGAAGTGAAAGGAAAAGTATCAAAAAAGTATCCACGTTCTCAGCACAAAGGAGATTATTTGCCCCAGACAGACAAAGGCCAGGGAATAAGAAACAAAGAAAAACAAAGGGGAAAAGATCTGGAGGCATTACCATCCCTGACTTCAAACTCTATTACAGAGCTACAGTATTAAAAACAGCTTGGTATTGGCATAAAAACAGAGAAGTCGACAAATGGAACTGTATAGAAGACCCTGACTTTAATCCACAAACCTATGAGCACCTGATTTTCGATAAAGGAGCTAAAACTATACAATGGAAAAAAGAGAGCATCTTCAACAAATTGTGCTGGCAAAACTGGATTTCAATCTGTACAAAAATGAAAATAGATCCATGTCTGTCACCATGCACAAAACTCAAGTCCAAGTGGATTAAAGACCTCAATATCAGTCTGAACACACTGAACCTGATAGGAGAGAAAGTGGGAACTACACTACAACAAGTGGGCACAGGAGACCGCTTCCTACGTATAACATCAGCAGCACAGACAGTAAGGGCCTCATTGAATAAATGGGACCTCATGAGACTGAGAAGCTTCTGTAAAGCAAAGGACACTGTCGCTAAGACAGAAAGGCAACCCACTGACTGGGAGAAGATCTTCACCAACCCCGCAACTGACAAAGGTCTGATCTCCAAAATATATAAAGAACTTAAGAAACTAGACTGTAAAAGGCTAATCAACCCAATTATAAAATGGGGCACTGAGCTGAACAGAGATCTCTCAACAGAAGAAGTTCAAATGGCCAAAAGACACCTAAGGTCATGCTCAACTTCCTTAGCGATCAGGGAAATGCAAATCAAGACAACTTTAAGATACCATCTTACACCTGTCAGAATGGCTAAAATCAAAAACACCAATGATAGCCTATGCTGGAGAGGTTGTGGAGAAAGGGGTACACTTATCCATTGCTGGTGGGAATGCAAACTTGTACAACCACTCTGGAAAGCAGTGTGGCGGTTTCTCAGAAAATTTGGGATCAACCTACCCATGGACCCAGCAATACCACTCTTGGGAATATACCCAAGAGAGGCCTTATCATGCAACAAAAATATATGCTCTACTATGTTCATAGCAGCATTGTTTGTAATAGCCAGAACCTGGAAACAACCTAGATGCCCCTCAATTGAAGAATGGATGAAGAAAGTATGGAATATATACATATTAGAGTACTACTCAGCAGTAAAAAACAAGGACTTCTTGAAGTTTGCAGGCAAATGGATGGAAATAGAAAACACTATCCTGAGTGAGGTAAGCCAGACCCAAAAAGAGGAACATGGGATGTTCTCACTCATATTTGGTTTCTAGCCATAAATAAAGGACATTGAGCCTACAATTCGGGTTCTTAGAGAAGCTAAA